CGTAATATAAGCCATACCCCAAAATTAAGTCCCAGTTAAGTGAAACCTCGCCATTGTGCAGCATTGTGCAGCAACCAGAAGACAATATGATGGTAAAGTCAAACATCCCCTGAAAATAAGCCCTAATGTGTTTTTTGGAGCAAAATTTAATGTAAGACCCTGTCTTATTGTTGGGGAAACATGGTAGTGCTTTCCCCCCCAAGACTTTATATTATTTTGTCCCCACTGAACGCATGGATTATTTGTAGTATTGCTTTATAATCAGGCAGCAGTGTTTAGCACTACAGCAGTTCTCCTTTGACGTTGATGCGTATGGTGAGAGCCTTCTAGTTGGAAGCTTACAATTCACCCTTCAAAAAGGGCAAAGAAGTGTGTTTCTTAGAAGATTTCTTTAGGGAAAATGGCTTGATTGGAGAGACGTGGATGATTAAAGAAACATTTGGACACAGATCCTGGTAAAGCCTGAACTCTTCCAGCATCACGCAAGAGGCGGAGCAAGCGCTATGCCCGGAAAACTTCTTACATTCTGTGATTTTGCCATAGTGAAACTGGCAGCACATCTATGGAAAAGATTTCCACTCGCTCATATGCATATATGTTACGATTAGGAGTGTCCCTACGTCAGCATGATTTCAGCAAAGCAGTCAGCAGGTGGGTGTGGCATGAGCAGCAAAAACATTCAGTCTGACTAAAGCTGCTGTGAGCAAATTATAAATACATATAATTTTTTTTAAAAAAAGGAGAAATATCCATGTTTTGTGGGTCTGAAAAGCAGATTTTTCATCCAAAATCCTATCAAGACAGGATCTTCCTGTTGCTTTATGCCTATGAATGAAGAATTGTTTTTGCCAGTAGTGGAACACCAAGGGGTATGGAAATCTTGCAATGTGCTTACTAGTTTCTTATTCCTGAGCCTTAAGTTGTGAGGTGCTGTTTCCAGCAGTGGCTGATACCTTAACATGTGAGCTCATTATCCATGAAGCAAGTGCTTGCTATCGTAGGACCCTGGGAGAAAGATTTATGCACTTCCACACAGATCTTGAGAAAGCTACTAAGCCTTTTCACTTAATGCTTAAGAAGTTACAGGTATAACCTTGCTAGAGGATTCTGGGACATGGAGAACAAAATAATACATTTCCCAATCTCTGCACTAGCAGTGCTGGCTATCCAAGCTTGCCTCTCTACACAAGGCAAGCAGAAGGCTCTTCAGGCAGCATAAATTCAATATACCATTTAATATTAGGGCAGATATTCCTCTTGGACTCCTAAGAAAGTGGCCATCCTAGCATATTTGTTATGTATCCACCTTTTTTGTTGATAATAATCTTCATAATGGTTTGTAATTATTCTGTACCATGACTGTCTTTCATTAATATCACCACACCACTTATACAGAGACACTTAGACTGTCATCTTAGTAAACTATTGTGTATTACATAATCCTGCATTAAAGATATACATTGTGTTTGTGTGTGTGTGTGTGTGTGTGTGAGTGTGTGTGAGAGAGAGAGATTCAGGGATTCAGATGTTATTTTACATCACTCTTATACACCTGCCATTGGCCTCTCTTTCTCCCTAAGATCCTACACAGGCCGTTGATTTATTTTATTTATTTATTTATTCATTCATTTATTTATTGGACTTATATACCGCCCCATAGCGCTACAAGCACTCTCCGGGCGGTTTACAATTTTTTTAATTATACAGGCTACACATTGCCCCCCCAGCAAGCTGGGTACTCATTTTACCGACCTCGGAAGGATGGAAGGCCCAGTTGATGTGTAAACTATTTTTATCAAATATAATGGTGCATTTTTCCTAGATTTTAATAATCTCAGTTAGGACTATCACTTTTACTTAAATAACTGGTTATGTCAATCAACAACTGTTTTGCCTCATGAAAATTTCCCAATTAATCAGCAATGTAAATTTTAGTAGAAATTAGTTGGATTTGGACTTCAATTAAGCCATACTTAGAGACTCAGTGAAATAAAAGGGACATAACATTAAGCATGGCTATGCTTTCTGATTTCTGTATGTATATGAAAGAGCCCGGGACCAACAGAATGGGCTAGGGTGTAGAACAAAGGTCAGTTTCAGAGTAGTTCTGGGGAATAGCACATTCCCGTGGTTGGCAAGAACAAACAAAAGGGTAGGGCCAAAATACCATGCATATTTTAGCTTAAAGATTTTATTGCCAATAACTACGTTTTAGGAATAAGGGTAGGGCCAAAATACCATGCATATTTTAGCTCAAAGATTTTATTGCCAATAACTATGTATTAGGAATAAGGGCAGCCCTACTATTAGGCAAAGCGAGGCAGCTGCTTAAAATTACAGATCCTGAGTAGTAGTGGCAAGGGCCAAAATACCATGCATATTTTAGCTCAAAGATTTTATTGCCAATAACTATGTATTAGGAATAAGGGCAGCCCTACTATTAGGCAAAGCGAGGCAGCTGCTTAAAATTACAGATCCTGAGTAGTAGTGGCATGGCCTTCAGGCAAAGTGAGGCAGCTGCTTAAAATTACAGATCCTGAGTAGTAGTGGAACAGAGTGGCCTTCCCTGAAGTATCTTGCTGCCAGCACTTGTATTCTAACATCAACAGTGGAGTACTGCCACTAATCCAATTTACTTTTGTACAAGTTATTTTTTTTTTCCGGATGAAAAATTCATTAAAAAAAGATACAACCATCTAGCACGGTCCCCTGGAGAACTCCAGATGGATCAGATAGAGATCCCCAAAAGTCTAGTTTTTGCCCCAGAGACTGAGATTCTCTGCTCCTGGGCTAAATCCACTATTTATTATTTATTTATTTATTTATTGGACTTATATACCGCCCCATAGCGCTACAAGCACTCTCCGGGCGGTTTACAATTTTTAATTATACAGGCTACACATTGCCTCCCCAGCAAGCTGGGTACTCATTTTACCGACCTCGGAAGGATGGAAGGCTGAGTCAACCTTGAGCCGGCTACCTGGGATTTGAACCCCAGGTCGTTAGACCTACAGAGAACAGACTCACTAAAATGGGTGGGATTGTTAAATAGGACAAATATGACTTTGCCCCATTTTTAATCCAAGGTGGAAAATGTCATTTTAAAATAAGATCTCCTCTCCATACTCATTTTATTTTCTAAGTTTTTAAAAAAAGCAAACATTGTAAATTTTCCTCATAGTCAATCTAATCCTTTGTAGTGTCCCATTTTGTACCCTTTCCAGCTCTGCAATATCCTTTCTGAGGTGTGATGACAATAATAGTACATGGTGTTCCACGTGTCCGACATAAATACATATAAAGGCAATATAAAATTGGCTGTTCTAATTTTTGTTCCTTTTCTGAAGATCCCTGCCATGGAATTTGCCTTTTCAGCAGAAAGTTTCCATCAAGCTACAAGAATATACACCATGACGATAAGGTCTTTCCTGTCCAGTCACCATCAGCTCAGTTCATATGTGATGTTAAAATTCAGTAGACATGATGCTCCTAATCATTCAACTAATCCTAACTGAAATTCAAGACTTCTGCCTCATCGGGTTTAAGCACTTGATTATAACATACAACTAATGGTTTATTGAGGGAATAACTGGATTACATTCAATGGTCTTGTGGGTGGAAGCATGACAAAGTTGTTCAGGACTCTCATATAATTATATTCAGAAACTGATAGCAGCCTCTTTCCAAATCAATCCTGAAATCTTGGAAACATGACTTGTGTAATAAAAATGAGGGATAAGATAGATCTGTAATACAAAATGGGAAAAAAATACCTGTATGTAGGAAGACACTTCAGTGGAGCCCATGTTTTGCAAGTTCAAAATTTTAATTTCCAGTATTTTCTGTTAATAGAATCAGGTGATACACCAGTGATGGGAAAGATGTTTCTGAAGCTCAAACTTCAGAAAGCTGCTGCAGAAAATTCCAGGTTATGTTAGGTGCCATCAAATGGCATCTCACTTACACCAACCCTGATAGGTGGTGAGATATCCAGGTCAAACACAGTATTTGAATTGTTCTTCCAGAATCAGCCCCTTCCCCAAGTTTCTGTGTTTGAACAGGATTTTGAAGCTAGGTCTCTCAAGTCCTCTCTACCAAACCACAGGAGCTCCAACCTTGGGAATTTTTTGAACTACAATGCCCAGAATCCTTCAGTCAAGTATAACAACAGGAACGAGCTGGTTCAACTTTCCCCAACTTTGCTTGGAATAAAGCACCACCCAAAGTTCCTGAAGTGTGAGACATTCTTTTTCTTTTGCATTGGATAGTTATTTTATTTATACAAGCGCAACTGCAGGCATAACAGTGTATTTGCAACAGCCATAACTGGCAGCCACACCACAATTCTCTCATACTTTGCAGTGCACATTTAACACATGACCTCGCCCTTGATAAGAAAACTCTTAAGAGGTTTTATTTATTTGTTTATTTATTTATTTACTCAAAAGGAATAGGGAATACAGAAAGGAAAATGGATAGGGGAAATTTTGATACTGAAATATCTTTTTGGATATCATAATTGCACACAACTGCAACAAGCAAAAAAAGAGAAACAAATAAGAGAGAACTGCACGGTATTATAATTATGATGTTTGAAAACGCTTCCCTCCTTTGTTTTCAGCTCTCGTCATAATTATTGCAGCTTCTATTACTCCGATTACTCAAATTAAAAACACGAAGCATATCAGCTTTTCTAATATGCTTACTATAGTTACGCGGTTATCTCTTAAGTATAATCAACATATTTACAAAGTATTACACATCTTGGATTTTAATTAAACGTAGCACAAACTTTTGACTCTTCATTTCTGTCTAGTAATAAGTAAGGACATTAAGCACCAAGGCAAAACTCTAGTTTTGATGGGACTCCTCCTAACCAAGGCGTCTCCTGCGCCGCGCCTAATCCCCAGGTCGTTAAGTTCCAGTTCTTCCAGATATCGGCGGCTCCTTTGCGCCACGGACCGAGATCGGGACTGCGCTTCTCCCCGTCAAATCCCGGCTCCGTGAGTAATCCGTCCCACCCCTTTCTCAACTTGCCCTTTCACCGGATATTACTCCACTTGGCCGGTAGCCACCTCTCCTCAGAGCATCGTTGCCGTCTTCTTCGGAAAACCCGAGTGACGCGCGCCCGCGCAGTTGCGCGCCGGCCCTTCGGGGTTCGCCTCCCGTTCCAGAAAGAGGCGTGACTCACCCACCCCGCCAAGGGCCGCCCCAGCGAAGTCCCGGGTCGAGGCCGGGAAAACGCGCGCGCTCAGAAGTTGAGCCAGGAGAGGGCGGAGGGAAAAAGGGTTTGAGGTGTATAAAGAGAGACCCGCGACGGGTAGAGGAGAAGGGCGAGCGCGCCGCCGATTGCGCCCCGGGGATTCGTCGCGAGGTCTTTTTTTTTGAGCCGCTTTTGGGCAGGCACCATGGAAGTGCTCTCTGGAAGCCTGCGGGTTTTTTTGCCCGCAGCCTCGTGGTTGCTGCTCCTGCCGCTTTGCGGGATGGTTTCTCCCCAGAAGACGTCCGAAGGTAAGGGTTGGTAAGGGGCAGTTTTAGCCAAGCGGGCTTGGAGTGGGGAGGGGGGGGACTGCGGATAAGCGCGAATTCTGTTGGGCTTGGAAACAATCCTTTTTCGGATGTCAGCTCGCAAGACTCGCCAGCCAACTTGGCCAGGCTGGCCGGAGGCCTCTGAGAGTTGTAGCCCCCCCCCGCAAAAAAAGCTCTTTTAATAATAGCCTCGGGTTTGCCCGTGTAGGGATGCGTATGGTAACTGATTGCTCCATCACGTGGAAGACCTTTTCCCCTCTCTTGGCCCTTTCCTTCCGTCTGATAACTAAAAAGTGCGTGGGAAAGTGGTTTTTGGTCTGCAACTCTTAGAATCTCCTGCCCTGGCTGTGATTGCAGTCCAAAAACCCTGAGCAACTTTCCCAGTCTCTAACATAACAGGTGATGGAGTGTCTTGGGTGTTGCTGTTGGATTTGGCTTACAAAAATGCCTGTATCTGGCCAGGGCCCTTTATCTGTCTGTCTGATCTAGTGGTGTAGGTGTATAGATTTAGAAGATTTAAAGGAGAAATATGTGTGACAGTTCAATGCAAGGCAAAATGAACAATGCTAAAAGTTCAAAGGTTTGGAAATAGAACTTGTAATGAAAATGTTTCAGTTTCTTCTTCCCCACCCCCTGAATTCAGAGTATACTGAGGCCCTTTTAGATTTTCTTGGAGTTCATTTCCACCCCCCCTCAGCTTTTGCTGTCTTAAAGTTCTCCTGAACTTACGGCTGTCCTCTTCTTTGTGGAACCCAAACATTGCTAATAAGAATAAGCATAGAAATGCTGGATTGTTTTTCTTGCAGACACCAAACAGAACTTGTGATGTTTGCGATTCATTGAACCTGGGGTGTTTAACTTCCTTCCCCGGGACGTTTTGGAAGGAGTTTATGAGGCATTTTTTGCTTCCTTATGTGTTCAGTCTCAGTTGTTTTGCTTTGTCACCAGATTTCTCTGTTTTGTTACTTCAGAGCTATTGTTGAAGTTGGATCTATTCCATGGATGCCTTCAAATCTTTCATTGTCATCAAACGGAAAGCCTCAATTGCCTGTATCCCAGGATTTGTACCTAAAGCACTTCTCCCCTTTATTTCCTTGCAGAAAGTAGAAGGATCTGTCTGCAGCCACCCCTTAAAGGCCCTTGCCGAGGAATGATCTCCAGATGGCACTACGACAGATACTCACAAACTTGTAAAGAGTTTACGTATGGGGGTTGTCAAGGGAATGACAACAACTTCTTGAGCTGGGGCGACTGTTCGAAAACATGTAGCTCCATCAAGAGTAAGTTGCCATTTTGACAGCAATGTCCAACTACTAATGTGAATTGTAGAAGCTGTTACTGCCGTGACTGACAGCGGTCTCGTTTTTATAGTACATGTCACGGCTGCTAATTTCTAAAGATTTAAAAGTGTAAAGCTGGATGGAAGTTGGATGCAACTACAGTTTGGAAAAGATGTTTTTTAGATTACAATTCCTAATGTTTTCCAGCCAGCATGGTAACTGACCATGCAAGCTGGGAGATGCAGGAAGTTGCAATTGTGGCGAAGACCCTCGTGGCACAGTGGTTAAACTGCTGTCCTGCAACCAAAACTGTACTCATGACCTGGGGTTCAATCCAGGTAGCCGGCTCAAGGTTGACTTAGCCTTCTATCCTTCTGAGGTTGGTAAAATGAGTACCCAGCTCGCGGGGGGGGGGGCAATGTGTAGCCTGTATAATTAACTTGTAAACTGCCCAGAGAGTGCTTGAAGCACTATGGGGCGGTATATAAGCAGCACGCTTTGCTTTTGCTTTTTACAATCCAAAAAGTGTATTTCCAAGCTTTGCGTGCAATGTTTATATAATTAGCAGGAAGAAAAATCTTACTGAATTCAAAGGAATTTTCACCTGCATACCAAACTGATAGGACTGGACTGCTGGGAACATGTGACTCTTAAATGAGGGGCAATGTGTAGCCTGTATAATGAACTAGGAAAAAATTACAATTTTTCGAGTACATTCTGGCTAGGGGGATTCTGGATGTCCTTGTCCAAAAATTGACAACACAAGAATATAGGCTGGTGTCAGCATTTAAAAGGTGGCACAGTGGTTAAACTGCTGTCCTGCAGCCAAAACGGTGCTCATGACCCGGGGTTCAATCCCAGGCGGTCGGCTCAAGGTTGACTCAGCCTTCTATCCTTCTGAGGTTGGTAAAATGAGCACCCAGCTTGCTGGAAGGGGGCAATGTGTAGCCTGCATAATTAACTTGTAAACCACCCAGAGAGTGCTTGAAGCACTATGGGTTGGTATATAAGCAGCACACTTAGCTTTTTATAACAGTATAAATAGTATGTAGTCCAACCGAGCAGCATGCCTAAAATAAATAAAAAATAAAATAAATAAATGAGATGTTCAGCATCATTCCATCCTTATAACATCAAGAAGAAATGGTCTTTACTGAAAATTCTCATATTAAGATATTGTTTTAAACTTTCTAAAATCTTTAAAACTTACATAATAAGGGTGGGTAGTTGTGACTGTCTAGTGCCATAAACCCTTACTATTGATTGTGCTGCCCAGGGGTAATTACAGTCCAACAGCATCTGGAGTGCAACTGTTGACCCCTCCAGTATAAACAGTATGTAGTCCAACTGAGCAGCATGCCTGTTGTATAAAATAGACAGCTAACAAGACAAGAGATATAAATCCCTGTTTTTGATTTGAGCTGTAAGCGCAGAAATGCCTTAAAGTCATGTTCACCTGCCTCACTTGCCCAATGTAGTACATTATATAATACATAGCAGGACATGGTGACTGTGTGAAATAAGGGAACCTATGTCTTTTAAAAGTAGTGTTTGCATGTTGCACTCACAGTGTTTCTGGCCCTATTGAAATAGTGGCTGAAATCCAGTAGCTGGTCACAACTAGAGTAGGCCTGTTAAATCAGAGGGAATTTGGTGAGTCAACTCCTCTGGAAAATCCATTGATTCAATGGGCCTATTCTAGTTGTAACTTACTACTGCATTTCAACCGGTATGTTGTGGGGGGGATTTGTTTTAATAAAAAAGGACAAAAAAAGTGGCATATTTACTCTTTGGAACCTGCTGTAGCAGTTGTCTACCTGTGGGGATTTTTCCAAGTACAGAAAAGTCATAGTTTAAAACCTACCAATTCAGAATTCAACAGGGCCAGGAAGGGTGGCAGCAGAGATGGAGAAGCAGTGATGGAAGATAGCAGTACTGTAACTTTAACCTAAAGGGAGAAAGATAATAAAGATGCTTATCGGCCTAGAAAACAAAGACTAGGAAGAAACATTGAAAGACCAAGGTATTCTTAGCTTAGAGAAAAGAAGACAACAAAGGATGCATGACAGCAATCATCCAGTACCCGGAAAACCACCACAGAGCACAAGACAAAGATTCATAGTGATGGTTTAACTAAGGTAATAGTTCTGATAGATGACGTTGCTGTTATTTTCATTCTAGAAGTGCCTAAAATATGCAGATTGGAAGCTGACGAAGGACTCTGTAGAGCATTAATGCAGAAATACTTCTTCAACCTCACATCAATGACATGTGAGAAATTTTACTATGGAGGATGTTATGGAAATGAAAACCGGTTTGATGATGAAGAATCCTGCATGGACATTTGCCTGCCAGTAAAAAGTAATTATTATTTTAATGCTAGACAAAGAGTGACCCTGTGGGAGAAGTGAAGGGAGGAATATTCCATTACTCAGAAACCAGTCTTCTCCTATCCCCATCTTAGGTTGCGTTTCCTGCCGTTTTGCATTTTACAGTTTGCATATGGCATGAATTTTAAGCTTGCATTGATATTTTGATCTTGATATCTTAATCATTTGGGGGTACAGAGCCCACCACTCTAAGAGAGAGAGGTTTGACTTTCAGGTTGTTTCTAGCAATTGGAGAGTGTTTGTTCCTGTCTACACATACACTAAGATTCCTGACTGATTCATTGGGAAGTGCCCTAGCCATTTGTTAGGCACAAGTAAGGATAAACATTTGCATTTATTTTACACAGAGACCTTGCATAAGTTATTTTTCTGGATTGCAACTCCCAGGATCGGCATGGCCCATGGCACACTTCGTTATATAAGATAGCATTTATGGAGAGAATAGTAGAAATACATCTCTATCACTTATGTGAAAGAAATCAAAGTTCAGTATGCTCCATCTTCATTCCTGATTGGTTAGAAAGCAAGTTGTTTATCAGCTAAACTTTCTGTGTACTATTGAGAACCCCAATTCACTACAGAACTTGAAAAAAACAGAATTGGCACTATTTTTCTTTTTTTTTTCCCCTTGCAGATATCCTGTATCAGAGGCAGGCAACCTTGTGCTCTCTATGTTTCGAATTATAACTTCCATGAGCCCCATTCAGTATGGCCAGTGGTCTGGGGTTATGGGGGTTATAGTCCAAAACATGTGGATATGTCAGCTTGCCACCTTAGTCATATGGCATTGAGAAACAGAAGCATAGTAATTTCTGCAATGAGGATGAAGTAACTGAAAGCTAAATGTATGGGCCTGAATCCAGCATAAGTGCCATAATGTAACCTGGTGTGGCAATAAGCTGCTAATTAACCATCCTGTCATTGGATTTTTAGCTGCGCACTAGCTCTGTGATGGTGCATAAGTAGGAATTCAGTGAGGAAGTCAAAATTAATGATTGTTTACCACTCAGAGTTATAGTTACACAGGTTATAGTAACACAGACAAAAAAGGCTGCCTATAAATGAGACAAATAAATAAAAATGCCGGCCACGGAGACAGGTGAAACATTAGGAAGAACAACCTTCAGAACACGGCCAAAGAGCCAAAAAACCCACAACAACCAAATAAAAATATTATTTTTTATTCTGGTCATCAAATTTCTACCTCCTATGTTAGTCATAATGGCTCAGCTACAAGGAGAAAATGTTGAGGAGGCTGGACTGCTGTTGGACAGTAAAATTACTTTTTGTAGGCATTGTTTGGGCTTTTGGGTACATTAGGGAGGAAGTCCCCAAAACAGACTGCACTCTTTAGTTCATTGACGACCAGTTCATTGAAATTTAGTTCATTTGAGGACCAGTGCTTTACTGTTTTTCAGTTTGTGCATTTGATATGCATTTTACCACTGACGCATACAATTGTTGCCCTTTTTGTCTATTTTAAAGCTGGCCCCTCATTTTGCTATAGTCCAAAAGATGAAGGATTATGTTCAGCTTCAGTGCCTCGCTTTTATTATAATGCAAAGACAAAAACGTGTGAGAAATTCACCTACACTGGATGTGGTGGAAACAATAACAACTTTCTTACACCAAAAGCCTGCCTGAAGGTCTGCAAAAAAGGTAGGCTCATTCCTCTTGTTGGATAGTTATCCCCATTTATGAATATTCTTAAATATGTTCTGTAGTGTTAAACCTGGATTTTCCAAAGTAGTCTCCTTCTCCCTCTCACACATACACACACAAAGAGCATTTATTTTCTCAGTCTCACAGAGTAGGTAGAGATAGTTTCATCACACTGTTACCTATGGTGCAGGATAATATTATTTAGTTACTGTAATATTGCTCAGTTACCTCAAGATGGTGTACACTACTTTTGTCCTCTCCATTTTTTCTTGACATCCCTATGAGATAGGCCAAGCTGAAAGAGAGTGTCTGACCCAAAGTTACACACCTGACTCTCTGGGGTCTGGCCAGGTCCACACCAACTTTCTAATCCCCACATCACACTGACTCTCAGTATTTAACAGCTGGTGAAATCTGGCCCTGCAGTCTATGTTTTGACTCACTGCCTCCTTCAGTGTGTGCTGGGCCTGCAGAAAGATGTAAGAGGTGGTACAAGAGGGGAACGGTGGATGGCTGGAAGAAGGGAGAATGTGTGGAATTATGGACCACTTCCAAGTCATTTCTGCTGTTTTGAAGGTTGCCTGTCCAAAGTAGGGAGTAGGGCCTGAATAGCAGAAATGATTTTTATTATATTGAGGGCAAACAGCTGGATTCAAATAGTTAAAATAAACTAAAACTGAAATTTGCAAGTAAGTATAAAAACTGATTCGGTCAATTTCAACTGATGTGAAAGAACTATATATTGCACATGATAGCTGATGCTTTATTCACCCCTTGGTGTTGCAGTTATGTACTGATTAACGTGGATAATAAAAGTTGGTGGTGGGATTTCAATCTGGAGCTTAGGATTTCTTAACAATGATTTTAACAGCTGTTGTTGACACTGTAATTGAATAAAGTGGTCAAATTAGTTCTGCTAGTGATTCAGTTTCTCTCTTTCTTTCTTAGCAGGGAAAAAGAAACCCTATTTTATAAGACGAATAAAAGCCGGCGCACAAGGATAAAGTCTACAACAGATGAAGAAGTATTTATAGTAGATGCATTATTTTAATTTGCAAAAAGCTTTAATTTATTATGATTGCTCTTTTCAAAAATGTAACTATGTACTTTTTTTTACCCTGTGATCAATTTTTGAGTTGTGACAAGTCAAAATTGCAATGATTCAGCAAGAGCAATCTGTATATAGTGCACTTCTCCAGACTGGAACCGTTTTGCTGGATTTTCTGCTGGGAAATAGAAACTTATAAGTAGGTTGCTGGCCTTCATTAAGAGATCTTAATGAACAATAGTGATCTCAGACTGTATATAGTGCACTTCTCCAGACTGGAACCGTTTTGCTGGATTTTCTGCTGGGAAATAGAAACTTATAAGTAGGTTGCTATCCTTCATTAAGATATCTTAATGAACAATAGTGAACTCAGAACACACTACTGTACAGTTGCTGAATATGACTGCCACTTTTTTTTTGTAAAGACTGTAATTATTTAGTCTACGACTAAGGCACTAAATGCATGTTTCCTTTTCCCGACCAATTAATAGTTTAGTTTTCACATTTTACTACCCAGAATCCTTTATCCAGCTAAGCTGCCTAGAGCAGGGGTCCTCAACCCCCGGATGGCGCACATACCACTCACGCACGAATGACAATGCCCCGCCCAGCCGCTGAACCAGTCCGTGGTTCGAAAAAGGTTGGGGATCACTGTCCTAGAGGATTCTGGAAATTGTAGTTTAAAATGGCTCCTTTTCCAAATTGGGAATAAATTATCGCCGAGTGGATGAACCACAGCTTTGCATGTGGATTGTTCAGGTTCAGTCCCTGGCAATCTGCAGTTAATAAAAGCATCAAGCAGGAAGCAGTAGAAAAGACTTCTTTACAAAACACTGGAGAACTGCTGCCCTGATGGCGCAGTGGTTAAACTGCTGTACTGCAGCCAAACTGCTCAGAAGCTGGGGTTCTATCCCAGGTAGCTCGCTCAAGGTTCACTCAGCCTTCCAAGGTCAGTAAAATTACTACCCAGCTCACTGGGTGTGTGGGGGAGCAATGTGTAGTCTTCATAATTTACTAGCAAATCACCCAGAGAGTGCATGCAAGAGAGCACAGTCTTGGGCTAGAGCTACCTAGTTTAGAGCAGTTTCCGGAAATATTTTGTCTGTCAGCAAGGATTTGGAGTTTTGGTTGGGTTTGGGGCAACTGGGGTTGCATTTTGGCAGCAAAATTGAGACCTTGCCTGCAGCTCCTTCTGTTCAAGATCTGTTGCTCTTCCTTATATTGGGCTTTCCCTATGTTTGAAAAAAATGTTAATGTGTATATAAAGGCATTTGTGTGAACCTTCTGTCTTGTGGGATATATGGAAACTTATTTTTGGGAAGAGAACATAATTATTCTAAACGTAAGGCAGGCCAAAGAAATAGGTAGTACAGCGTCAGCTGTAGTTGTCTAATGCTCAATTCAGGAAAGAATACCAAACTCAAGAACATTTTTTTAACATCAGCATTGGTTGTGTCTATACTTTTTGTTCTGCATAGCTGAAGACATTTTCAAGGCAGCTTTCTTCAACTATTGGCCATGCTGGTTGCGAATGATACTATGACCGATCTCTACACCACCAGTTGAGTAAAGCCTGCCGTCGAAGTGTGTCAGAAACTCCTAAGTCAGTTGGGAATAAAGTGTTTGTGTGTTGTGTTGTGTGTGAAGTTGAGCCCCAGGCTGATAGTCTCAGATTTGATAAGGAGCAGGCAAACCCTTGTTAGGGTGTGAAAATCTGAATTGCTAATTATTTTCATTATTTTTACGTAAATGTCACTGTAACACTTGCTAATTGAAATGTCAGTGAGAAGAGACTTAAGAATGCACTTTTCTGTGGGTTTTTTTTCAAGTTGGTTGATAAGCTTAAGGGGTGCAGGTGGAGATATTTACTGATGCCTGTACGCTTTGATGTTACTAGCAATAAAGCTACAGAGTTCATTATCATAATTGTGTTCCTGCTTGAGAGTTGCAGTAGAGAATGATGGACAGAAAACATCTATTTAAGAGCAGGAATTGCAACAAGCACCGAATATTTGATTTTATGATATACATACTTGCATTCCTTCTTTCTTTAAGTTGCCAACCATTATTTCTTACAGTATGCATTTCTGCAAGTTTTTATTTGTATCTGTATATTTATAACATTTTTTCATAAGTAGGAATACAGCTACAGAGGTTTCCCCTTTATTGTCATTCCTCCCGCCTCAAATTTCACATGCTAATTATTTTTGCATGTGTGCCAGTTATTATTGTAGCCATGTCAAATATGTGAAGTCATATCCAAACTGGTTGTGTTGAACTGTAACCAATTTTCACTGTAAAACTGTAAAAAGTGTTAATAAAATTAATGATTTTTTCCTTCTGTACCATGTAACAGTTTATTTAATAATCGTGTGTCATCAAGTCAATTCTATCTTACGGCAGCCCTTTCCAGGGCTTTCTGTGTAGCGAGTACTCAGACGTGGTGTGAAGGTAAAGGTTCCTGACGATTACGTCCAGCCATGTCCAACTCTAGGAGCTGGTGCTTATCCCCATTTCTGAGCTGAAGAGCCGGCGTTTGTCCATAGACACTTTCCATGGTGGCATGACTAGACATGGAATATGGTTACCTTTCCACCAAGGTGGTACCTATTCATCTATCTGCATTTGCCTGCTTTCAACCTGCTAAGTTGGCAGGAACTGGGACTTGTCCATAGACACTTTCCATGGTCACATGACTGGCATGACCAGACATGGAATATGGTTACCTTTCCACCAAGGTGGTACCTATTCATCTATCTGCATTTGCCTGCTTTCAACCTGCTAAGTTGGCAGGAACTGGGACAAGCAACAGGAACTCACTACATTGTGCAGATTCAAACTGCCAACCTTCCCATTGGCAAGCTCAGTGGCTCAGCAGTTTAACCCGCACTGCACCCAAATCCCTTGACAGAAGATGGTACAATATTCTTACTTCTGCTTGTTTTAGCAATCTGTGTATACATGTAGTATAAGTATGCTGCCTTTTCACTTTGTGCATCTTGAGAACTAAGCATTTTGCACAAAATCATTGGTCAAAGTAACTTCGCTCCAGATCAAAATGCTGTATATGGCCCTGTGTACAAGGTTACTAGTTGTGGCTTCCCTGGGATCCTATGCGTCTCCCTCCCAAGCAGAATAAACAGCAAAATGCTGTATATGGCCCTGTGTACAAGGTCACTAGTTGTGGCTTCCCTGGGATCCTATGTGTCTCTCTCCCAAGTAGAATAAACAGCAGTCATGGCCATCCGTGAAGGGGATATTGTTGGCACACGACGTACAGCGTTTGAAAGGGCCTGACGCGGCCATAAAATTTGGTGGGAACATGTGGAAGAGGGGGGAGGAAAAGAAGGAAAGAACTCATGGGGAACGTTAACGATTGCAGTCCAGGATCAAAAAACTGAGAAGACAAAAGACCAAAAGTATCATGACAAAGTCCGTAATCCAAATTGCAAATGATAACCAATCCAAAGGTCAGAAGCCAAACACAACAACGTTAGCCAATCCAAAATCCAAGAATCGTAAATCAAGTCAAAAAACGTACTCAAGAAGCCAGGCCAGAATCAAAACCAGAAGACTAGAAAGAAATGAAAATAGCTCTAGGTGTCATAAAAGAGTCCGACTGCGGCGGCCGCAAAAAGGAACTGAGGTACCACGGGCAGGTGGGCATGCGCACCATGGGGAAACATTCTATGTTGTTTAAGCTCTAGAATATTCCGAAGAGTCCTGCGCAGGCTCAGTTTAACCAATTCAGAGACCACAAAGAAGAATATATGTTTTATTACACAAAGCTGTGTGGATTACATAGGAATATTATAGTTTATAGGTAACACTGGGAATGTAGCTAGCTACATGGCTGACAGCATCAAGAAAGAATTGAGCAAGACAAAAATACATATATATTATCTTTCCCCTAAGGGTCTGAGTATGTACTCATCTTGCAAAATGTCTAACTGTAGTATTAGTAAACTAATGGCCAATTTGTTTTCATCAAACATCTAGGAAAGTAGAGTAATGGTCATTTTGCATTCAGGACAAGGCAATAAATCTCAGCAGGGTTAGAGCTGTTGCCACATTAAGCATATTTAGTGTGATTTAAAGGCTCAGACTGCTGGATGGTTTTAACAACTCTTATTTTGTTTTATCCAACTGCAGCTCACCTCAAAATCAAATTATAAATATTGTTTCTTACATAATTAAAGGTTACACAACACCAAAGCTGTGCATTATTAATAGACTATGTCAACCATATTCAATCTTGCCTGGAGTCTCTTCTCAAAGATTTAGTTATTAAAAATAAATCATCCCCCAGAATAAATACAACATTCCCTTCCTTATTTCGTTGCAAATTTACATTTCCAATCTACTTGGGCTATTCATAAACAGGCTTCCATTTGTTTGATTTTTATGCCAGCATGACAGAATCAGAGTGAATTCTTGGAAAAAGATGCACTAGTCTTTTTCACCAATAAAATGTGTTTTGCTGTAATTCACATTAACAGAAGAGTAGCCATAGCTCCGGCTTGAAGGAGGACAGTCCTCTGTCTGAAGGGCTGCACAGTCTATCTCTAAGATAAAGATGAAAAACTATAAAGGGGGAGATCAGGGGCCTTGAAGCTGCCCATCAACCCATAGTAACCTGGACTGCAGACTGAGCAAGCACACAGATACTCTGGTTGTAGCCTTCCCCACTGTAGTGGGATGTGTTATACTTCTGTTTAAACTGCAGCCTATTTCTAAATTAGCATACACACATTTCTTGCAAATATGCACCCATTTGCCCCCTTAGTAATGCATTTTCTCTTCTTTGGTAAGTGGCTGTCCTAAATTGCAAAGTGAGGCAAACAGCCAAAACTGTCACAGAACCCACCACAAAAATATGGGGATGCTAGCTGAGCAGAAAACCATATTAAAAGGGACAAATATGAAAAGATCAGTTTTCTCAGAGTTTTAAACTCTCAGGGTACAGATCTCATGTTTCTGTTCGTGCTACTTTGCATGGGTATTCTGTATTCAAATGGCCCTCTGTTTAATTATAGTTATCACTTGATATTTGGCATCTGAGACAAGTAGATTAGAAGCAGACCCTTCTGATTTGAATAATTTCAAACCGCTCAGGACAATTAAGACAGCACTTGGAACTGGAGAACGTTATTGTGAAAAATGATAACTTTATTTCAAGATATGAAGTTATTATTGAGCTATGAATGCAAAGGGGTGTGTGATAAAGCTGGGGGAAAGACCTGAAAGCAAACATCGGAATATATTTGAGATGCAGATTATATATTTTTTCTTTGATATGAACTTTAGAGAAAATTGTTATAGAATCATATCAAGATAGCGTGCCAAGTCATTGCTGATATACAGAATAAACAAATAAAAGGATAGTAAGAAAAGTACAGAATGGGTGATCAATGTGGTAACAGCTACTCAGTTATCATATGCCGAATGTTTGAAATAACTACAAATACAAAATAAAATAAATGAATTGTTCAAATGTTGTATGGGCACATATGGCAAAATTATATAACAATCAGAATCATCGATCCAAAATATAATTTGTTTATAAATAGATGGGAACCATGTATAATTCTGTGCTTGGACTTTTCTATATCAAAGTGTGGCAGTCTTAATTTGTGGACTAGAATCTTAAATCACGGAAGCATGCAGAATCAATAACAAAAATAACTACAAAAGCATCCTGCTATGAAACATTCTGCATGGGTGAATATCTTGGTTAGGTAGATAATAAACAGATTAATAAAGATTTCATGATACAACAGTTTTAAATTTTGGTAGCCTGTGAACCCATGCATTATGTTTGTTAAAACCTTTCTAATTAAAACTGTTCTAGTTCTCTAACAAAACAGAGACCATGGAGGCTTTTGTTTGACTTGTAACTAACTATACAACCACAAAATCATACATCATAC